ATATTTTTCAAAATTTATTCTGAGAATCGTGACTGATTTTCTCAGAATTGGGTTGGCCAAATATGGAAATAAAAGAAGTAGTAGAACACTTATGCTATTCCATTTAAAACATTCAAATAACCTTTGGAGATCGAAAATTGAACGTAAAATGAGAGATCATTGAACAAAACATATTTGCATGGTTTTTTGGGGGTGTCCTTAAACTTATGATCGGTAGTGTATGTTCTAGTTGAAGTGCTAAGTTGGCCGATATTACCTCCGTACATGGACAACATGGAAAATCCTCATCCTTTATACAAATCAATGGTTTGTATGGCTCCAGATAGTATACTATACAATGTTTAATTTAGATGTAATAATGTTGAATAAATAAACCATTCCTTGAATTTCTTTAACACGAACATTAATTTTAAAATTTGAATCAATATGAATCTAATACGCTAAAGCAGTACTTCCCAACCTGGGCGCCGCGGCGCCCTGGTGCGCCGCAAAGGTTTCCCAGGTGCGCCGCGGGCTCATTAAAAATATGTATATTCAAATCTAGCTAGGGAGCGTAACTTTTTTCCATTCATGACCAGTGCCTAATATTCAAACATGTAGTAAAAATTCAATGTATTCTCTGTTCACTTCTGTGGTTGAGAAGTGGTCTCAAATCTCTCCCCCTGCAGTATCGGTGATAAAAATGTAAAACATCTGTCAAACGTGACTCACATCAGAATTTCCACTTTTTAAATTGGAAATTTGTCTTATTTTGTACGTTTTTGGCGATCAAAAAGCTTGTAAAATTGTAGGAATAGTATATTAAAACAAAGAAGAAAAAAACTTCATTCTCTATAAATAAATTCGCCCTTCTTTTCTATTTAATATAGGTGCGCGGCGGCTTTTTCAGAAAATTTCAAAATGCGCCGCGGTAGCAAAAATGTTGGGAACCACTGCGCATTATGCATTATCATGCATAAAGCATTAATATACTAAGTTCGTATTCTCTCTTGGGCGACTACGGTGGGCTGGGCACGTCGTAAGAATGCCGACCCAGTAAAAATGGTTCTAGAAAGTGACCCAACAGGAACAAGAAGAAGAGGCGCGGTGCGGGCAAGGTGGATCGACCAAGTAGAAGGCGACCTGCGGACCCTTCGCAGACTACGAGGCTGGTGAAGTGTGGCCATGGATCGAGTAGAGTGGAGACGACTTCTTCGGATAGCAGAGGACAACAAGGCCGCAGCCTGATTGGTAAGGTAAGTCGTATTATCTCTCTTTATACCATGCTATGCGTCGGGTGGGAGAGTTGAGCTTTGGCGTAACTTTTAATCTATTTAGAGTTCAATATTTTTCGAGTGTATGCTCTGCCTTCTGGCAGCTTTGTTTATATATTCGTCGATTCAATTTTGGAGTCGGCAAAGTAGAAGTCGATAAAGTAGAATATTGAACTATGATTTGCAAAGCTATTGATATCACCATGTGAGGCACATAGACTCCGAGTGTGTCACAATTCGAACCAATAGTGTATAGGCATGATGAAAAGCATTAGATTCACACATGAAATGGACGTGTTTCGCAATAAGTGCAAAATTTAGTGTGAGACACATGATGATGACGTGTGGAGTTTTTTGAGTGTATCTAAAATATTATGTTGCTTATGCAACACTTTTCAACTTCAATTCAACAAATCAAGCATAACTTGTCAAAAGGACGTCTGTCGCAAAAATAAACAAATCGATGTTTTGCTTCTAACCGATTATAAAATACATGCTTTTCCTACGAGCTAATGAAAAACAAAGTTTGAAACATAAATCAATTATGAACACCCTTCTTTGATTGTTTTTAAAATGGTTTTGATACACCCTTTTATTGTCAACATGATGTTGGAGATCGCAGTAGGCCGCGCTTGAAAGCTGACGTGTTTTTCTTTTGCTGCGTATGTTTCGTAAACGAATTTAATACTTTTTTGCTTTAAATTTGTTAATTTGTGTGCTGAAATTTAGTTTCAAGTTTTCATAAAGTTATCATTTAGTGATATATCGTGTTTTGCCTGAGTTTGCCTTGAGTGACTCGGTTGACCTTGAATGTAACCTCAAAATATAAGACGCAGCTGGATGGAACTGATTCCATTGTTCGGTGTCGATTTTCATTGCCTCTCGGGGGCCCGGTTCTCCGAGTTAGGATGCTACACTTTCGGCGTTCTATTGAGAGATCGGTCCGGTTGGTGAATTAGCCCGGGAACGTATTGATAATGATGATTCGGTGGCCAACGTTGCCGTGAATCAGCAAGTTTTTCCCTTGCAAAAGTGCTCGGCTGCTGGTCTCTCACCGGTGTCGGAGATTGCGAGCAATATCAAAAATACCTTGCTGGATACGCCCAAGACTGGACGGGTGGCAGTTGGTGGCCGCGAACTGTTCTTGGGGAAAGCACTAAACACGAACCTCCTCCCAGATGACCATGGTAATGCAAGAAAATTTGTGTTCGTTAAAGGAAGTTTACCATAGAGGTAACTCTAAGACCAAAAGGTCCCGAAGAAACGAGCGCAACATTTTGGGTCAGCTCTGGTACTTTATTCGGTCCCAAGCTAATCGATTCACCCCTCGAAAAATAGGTAAATCCACTAACCCCTCATTTTATCAGTCAAACTTTCATAGCGAATCATAACAAACATAGTGCAGTACTGGAATTTATACTAGAATGGGGTACGTTAGTCGATTTGTTTGGGACGTGTCAAGTAGTGAGCTAATTTAAAATCGTTAGTATCGTAGAGTAATGCGGGGCAAAAGTACGCACTTAACTTTTTTAGTAAGTTACGAAAGGCAAATACCATGCGACCAAGTTACCACGTATTGCCTTAATGTCTTACCTTTCAAACGTAGTACTGGAAATTACCAAAATATTTGTGTAATATGAGAACTGAAACAGTTTTTAAAAATAGTCAAATGCGGGGCAAAAGTACGCACTGAACAAATAATGTATTTGTCGCAAATAATGGTTGTAACAAATAGTTTCTTGAGTACTGTACCTCCCCTCTGGTCAACCAGGATTAGGGAGCATTCAAAAACTACGTTTTCTTTTTAGGGGCAGAAGCGTGAGGGAGGGAGGGTGATGAGAGTTGTAGTTTGTTGGTTTCCATAAAAGTTCATATAAAACATATTAAGGTTCCATGCAAAGCGGGTAATGCCATCCCGGACTCTTTGCTGAGCTGTTTCAAGCATCTGGGAAGTGCATTTCTGCCGACTGGTTTTGCGCTTGTAGTTCCTGTACGAAAACATAACCATTTCAATGCGACATCCTGAGCGTACTTTTGCCCCACATGCAGTTTTATCAATGATTCGATTTATTACAAAACTTTTGAAACTGTTTGAACGGAATGACTGCACCTCTCAAACAATCATAGAGTAAATATATTTTTAGCATTTTTATACCCATTTTTTTCTTAACTTTAAATGGTCAAAACATAATCCCCAAAATGTTGAAATTTAGATCAAAACTGCACAAAACACATATTACCTCATAACTTCACGCCACTACGTTCAAATCACTTATGTTTACACATGTGATCAGCTGGTCGAATGATGTGTCGAACCCATACAGTGTGGCCAGGTTTTCATGTTCGAACATTTCAAAAAGGCCTATGCGTACTTTTGCCCCGAATTACTCTATTGATTGTTGGTATTACGACAAAGGTGTGTCACACGAAATGAGATGCAAAGCTTAGAGAAAATCAAAGTTACGGAACCCATAAATTGGAGGATCAAATTAACATGGTGAGACCAGTCCAAATACATTTTACAATTAGAAAAAAAAAATCAAACTAAATACGTTCCAGGTTTGCAAAGAATATTTTCGAACCTGGAAGCGTGTATGTAATACCAATATCCATTTGATAACGGTATGCATACATGCGGGGCTTATTTTAAGTGAAAGTAACCTCGGAATGGGTGTGACAATCCAGACATTCTGAAATGGGTTGATGGATCTGCAATAGAGCTGTCACTTTCTAACTCCCGGACCAAAGCTGTCTACAATGACCATAAATGCGACATTGTAGAGATAGATCTTCCATAATAACACTACCGGCCAGTGGGGACTAGAGGGAATACACACACATCCTTTTATTGTCAACATGACTTAACTGTCCAAATTTGATGATAACACAAAAACTGCAGAAACATAGGTAAATCCACTAACCCCTCATTTTATCTGTCAAACTTTCATATCGAATCAAAACAAACATAGTGTAGTACTAGAATTTCGTCTAGAATGGGGTACGTTAATCGATTTGCTTGAGATCAATAGGCTAGTCAAGTAGTAGGCCAATTTCAAATCGTTAGTTTCCACCGGTTGGTATTCTCAATTCTTTCAGAGTCACCGACGTATCTTCACTGCTAAACAAAAACCGGTGTATCTGATCTGACGCATGTGAAAACCGATCTGTCAAATCAACGAATCATGCAAGGTGTATGTAAAAATCAAGTTGTGATACCGATGAATCAGTCAAAGTGTATGTAAGTAGCAAACAAGGAAATGGTGTACCATATTGTTTTATCAAAAGTCTTGTCCGTGTTTGCGAAAACGCAACATTTTTCATAATTCTCTTAAACGTCATCCCTTTATCCAACTATTAGCAGATTTAATAGGATTTAATAATCTCATATGGAGATTGCTATCCAATGTTTCTAAATTCCTATCACATCTTGGATACGTTTTTTTTGAAAATTTATGCTTGAAATACTCATTTGAAATGTGAACCATCTGCTTGATGAGAACCAAGATTGAAATCATCCAAAAATTAGCAAAAAAGTGATATTTTTATTTAAACGTTCGTTAACGAGGGGTTCATCGATTCAAAATTCCGTAGAATGATTTTTCAGTGTGCATAACTATAGCTATCGAATAAGTACGGATAATAAAGGATTTTAAAAACCTCGGAAAAAAGTGGCCGGTTTCTGCGTGAATTGGAAGATAAGCCTACTGGTTCTTTTATCTCTCTCAGTCAGTTGTCAGACATTTCGCGATGACCACACCATCCTTCAAACTTCTTTGTGCCCTAAGTGGAGGCTTTCTTGTGTGCATCAGTTACCTGAAAGCACGAAATCCATACGATGCGTATCGAGCGACTGTGCTCAACTCTGCGGAAGAGAAACTTGCCAAACTGACGAAACGGGAGCGGCGGTTTGTCGAATTTGCTTCCGCGGAGTACGCTGGACAGATCTACATGACACCGAGAGATTTTCTGGAATCCGTTCTGGAGCGCGAACCCAAACCTTGTCTTAGAAGGAAGATTCTAACCAACGACGAAATTTCCCACTTTCATGCCGGGGTTCCTTCTGTGCAGTACAACACATGCATGATGTTTCGAAAGCTGTCAAATTCGGGAATTATTTCCTTCGCCGACTATTTGTTTCTACTGTCGGTGCTGACCAGACCGGAAGGAGGTTTTCGCATCGCTTTCGAAATGTTCGACACTGATGGCAATCAGCAAATTGAGCACGACGAATTTATCGTAATTCGTCAAATCCTGGGTCGCTCATTGAAAGAAAGGAAGACGGATGACGATACGAGGAAAACGCTGATTCGATTGATGCCTAAAAATGATCAGTCAAAACTGAAGGACTACAATGATGTTAACAAGAACCAAGTTGATGCCATGACCACACTGCAGATTCATTTTTTCGGCGAAAAGGGGACGGATGCTTTGAGTTATGCACATTTTTATCAATTTATGAAACATTTGCAGCAAGAAGTATTGCAAATTGAGTTTGAGCGGTATGCAAAGGGTAGAGACTATATTTCCGATGAAGAGTTTGCCTTCATCCTTTTAAACTACACGCACTTGAAACCACATCAGTACGGCGAATATCTGAAGCGCATCGAAAATCTGGAAGAACGGCATCCTGTAACGTACGAGCAATTTGAGGGCTTTTGTCAGGTGCTTCACAACCTGGACGATTTCTCTGTGGCCATGCGATTTTTCTATTCGGTTAAAAAGACAATCTCGAAGGATGAATTTGCACATGCCGTAAGGATCTGTTCCGGCTCGAAGCTTGGTGGTCACATTATCGATGTGGTATTTGCGTTGTTCGACGAAGACTGCGATGGATTGGTTTCGTACAGTGAGTTTTTTGTCATGATGAAAAATAAGTCAAGATTCCGATGTGGTTACCATCCACTGGGAGCGGGAGCATTCAAAAGATGTTTGCGGCGGGAGATGAAGCGTCACACACGTTGACATGATTTGTTTTTTGCCGTATGTTGTAGATGTGGATAAAGATATTTTAAATAAATGCTAAAAACTATCAGTATTTTTCACAAATTTGGAAATCGAGATCAAAGGGCTGGCCTGTTATGTTGTTCTGTGTACCCCTGGCATGACTATGAAAAAGTTATATTTTGGTTTGTAATTGATTGAGTAGGGTGGAACGAAATCTATATTTTGAACCACCCTAATATACATGTCCAATCGAATCGAGTGTGTCTATTCCCTCGCTTGAAGATTCACAAACCCTCTATTGATATATGCCCGCACATCGTCCTCCACCCACTCGCCCACCGAACGTGGTCTCACTCGCAGACAGTGTGAAGTTATGTTTGACAATCGAACGCTCACTACAACACCCGCACGCAGCAGTTCGTGAAAAGGACGAACCGCGCACGACAGGCAAAGCAAGGGGGTGGGTAAAGGTTGCCGTATCGAGTCAGCCCTTCTGGCTGGCTGGCTGGCCAACCGAATGCATGCGTGAAAATGGTTGACGACTTTCCGGAGAATATTTATGATGAAAATACACGGCGCGAGAGATCAAGGATGTGTTCGACCCGAACCGAAAGGACGAATGCTATACAAACAGTAGGGAGTTTTGACTGCACACATACACCCTGCGAGAGAGGAAAATGTTGCTCTCCCTCTCTCTATCTTGCTTGTGGTGGGCTCCCGCCTGTGTCCAGAAGTTCGTCTCCTGGAATTGAGAGCGAGAGTTCGAGGTGGGAAAAGTGAAAAAATAGAATTAAAGATGAAAAGTTTCATCTTGACGAGTTTTTCGCCGTTTTAAAGTTGCAATTTTTACTGGGAAAAGTTTGACTTTAATGGTTGAAAAGTTTTCCAAAACAGAATGCACCCGGGCCCGGATCGGCATTAGGTGAATTCGAGCGTGGTCGAGCGTTTGCAGCAGTGAAAAAAGGCTAAGGCGGACAGTGATTTCTGTGCATGGGTTAGGATTTTTCCTCCCAAAAATTGCAAGAGTGGGCTCCATCGTCATCATCATCGGGCAGCCGTCGACATCGCGGGGCTGGCATTCAGCCTCCAGGATTTTTTTGTAGCTCGGGCCCTCGCTCGCAGTGGTGATAAAAGTTAGACATTTTATTTGATTGCAATGTGAAAGTGAATGTGAGAGTGAAATAATGGAACTCCGAAAAAAGGATAACTTGCAGTCTGGCAGAATGGCAAACCGGGCGCCTTCATAGGCGTTGGAAAGTGAAAATTTTTCGATCCCAGCGTGGAAAAAATGGTGTGCGAATATATCGAACAAAATTAGGAAGGGATGCGTGATACGATGCCAAAAGTGTTGGACAGTGATACGGAATCGGAGATACCAGCCAGTATTCATAGTAACAACAATAGCGAGCCGAATACGGATAATGAGGAGAAACCGGAAACGGACGCCCTTCCTGTTGCGGGGACGTCACTCCCAGCCGTTGAAAATGGAAACGTCAGCGATACGGATAGCATTTGCAGTAACCGAAGTAATGGGCGAATGCTATCCAACGGGACTGACCAAACCCCCGGACCGAGTCTTCCATCAGTCAGAGCACCAACCCCACCAGCAGCTACTGCCAATGGTAATAGCTCTTCCAGCTGTGCATCAAATCCGAACAACAACGGCAATAGCAGCTCCAGCAACGGTAGCACCTCCAATCCCACTCGAGCATCGACGGCGACGCCTGTGGCCGCAGGTGATCGGATAAGGAAGTATCGCCATCAAAACTTCAGCAAGAATATCTACATCGGCACGAAGAATGCGGAAAAGTGGGACACCTTGCGGAATCTGTTGCTGTTCAAAAATGATGTGGAATTTGTATCATTTCTGCTTCGGCTGGCAGAGGTGGACGATCGGAAGAGGAAAAATCGAATTGCGAACGGGTGAGTGATCCAGTCTTTCCTATTTTTCGTTTTGGTGGGTGTGTTTTGCCCACTTGAGGCAATGAAAATATTCGAGCGAAGGCATGCTCTTCCTTAAGACGAGAAGACGGAGATATTAACAATACGCATTTGTATACTTAGACGTCGTATTCCGTTTCGTCGTCTGACTCGCTGGGTTGGACGTGTGAATATATATTTTTGGTGGTGGGTGGTCGGAGGTTTGGGGCCGAAAGATGAATTGTGATGTACGACGTCCCAGAATAGAGCAAACGGACACAATTCGGAAAGGACTAGCAAAACGGAAAAGTGTGTGAGTGTGTATGTGTGTACGAGTCAGAGAGCAGCACGGTCGATTTGGGAAAGCGGAAATCAACAAAAAAAAAAACGCCTCGAAATGTATGGATGTGAAGTAGGGATGATAATTTCATTTTTATCTTCTACTGGATACGCATATTCTTTCCGAGTAGAGCTGACTGGCGTTCCCGGTTTTGCTTCACGTCTTGTTATTCTGTAATACTAAGATTTTTTCCTTGAATCGGATTTGTAATGAAATTTGCTTTCAAACATGTATAGTGAATTGCAATTCTCGGAAGATTTATTCGCGTTAACAAATTATTAAATGGCATATATTTGATTGACGATCCTCCTTTTCAATCGAAAAATTTACAAGCAAGGTGGATAAATTTGAGTTGAGAAAATAGCGGTTTATCAAAGTAAACAATGATGGTGGTACTGCGCAGACAATAGCATGAAGTAATAGCTTCTTAGTATCAGCCTACTGTTCAAAAAAACTGGGATAAATCCTCCGACCAGTGCCTTCTCGAATGAAATTATGCAACATTATTATTTGCTTCTTGTCATATTTTGCCTTCTATTCAAAAAAATAGCCCATGGCTGCCTGAGGGCCCAAAAATTTCCGTGTGTGGCAAATGTGGTCCTTATGGTCTAAAAGAACGTCATATCTACTATATGTAATGATTTTTAATATCGCAGGGCTGGTAGCGAGTCACTTTTTAGTGACTTGGTCACTTTTTTCAAGCCAGTCACTAAAAAGTCTCTTTTTTTTAAGGCCAAGTCACTAAAGTCACTTTTCCTTCTAATCAGTCCACTATTTTCAACTTTTTTAGCGTGAATTTATTTCAAGATTGATCATTCTTTGCTTTGGACGTTTAATCGTCTTTCTTTATCTTCAGGGTGTCTATTAATTTTTCTAAATTAAATTATCTGGCATTTCCAGGTTTTTCCAGTATTTTAACGGATAAAATCCAGGTTTATAATAAAAAAAAAACTAAAATTTTAAATGCGTTAAAAATTATTATTTTTTTGGTGGTTCAAAAACAACAAAAATTTACCCAAACGTTTTTAAGACATGTCAATCAGTTTTAAAGAAACAGCATTACAATCAAATCCATTGAATGTTGAAGTTTATCACTTACTGAATTTCTCACTAAATAAAGTTAAAAAAAAACTAGATAAATGATTTATTTCAAGTTCGTATGAACTTTGGCGAAGTTCTGAGTAATGAAAAGAAATGCTGAGAATTTCAGTGAAGCTCCATAAACAAACTGCGGGAACATAAGGGAAGTAAATATGGGGAACTTACTGGAAGCATTAAGAATGCTAAAAGCGGTTCTTTAAGCATCCGAAAAATTTTGGGAACTTTTGTGAAGTTCCTAGAATTTCAGAAAACTTCACAGGTGTCAAGCGAACTTGAGAAATATAGAAAACATGAGGGGCGTTGTGCAAATTTTTAAGAAATTCTATGTACCTTAGAAAAGCTAGATCTAGAGATTTTTGGGGAATTTCAGCCCTTAAGAGCAGTTTCCGTAGCTTTAGTCCAGACTTTTGGAGCAGTTTAAATATCTATAATAGTAAATTTAGAAAATTTCAGGATAGTTCCATGATGTGCTGAAAAAAAAATCGAGAACCCTTAAGATGTTCCGAGAATTTCAGGGAAGTACATAGTCCTTCAGAGAATTAATGAAAACTTCAGATATATTTCAGAAACTTCACAGAAGTCCAGAGAATTACAGAGAAATTTTAAGGTTTTTACGGGAATTCCATTTATTTCCGAGCAGCAGAACCGAGATCTTCAAACGAATTGAAAGCTATAGGGAAGCTTCGAGAACATCAAGACAGATTATAGAATCAAAGGGCAGTTCAAGCAATTTCAAGGAAATTGTAGAAAGCTTAAAGAAGCCTATCTAATCTAATCTAATCTAACACCAACACAGCCAGTTCTTGAAGGCATCCTGGAAAATAATGGATGTACAGTCAGGTATCCTTATTGCCGGATTCCTTATTGCCGGTATCCCTTATTGCCGGATCCTTATTGCCGGGCTATCCGCGAATAAGGATACCCACAGCTTATGGGATTTTCTCTAATGGTGGCTGTAGTGGATTATCTCATTTGTTTCAATACATAAAGCTATACTGTCTTCGACAAAGTTGCTGTACTGGGTTAGACCAGCAAGCCTGTGCTATTGGATTTAGGTTAAATTGGGAACTACGCCGCTAGAGGCGCTTCATTTTTATGTTACTTATGACGGGCGCTATAATATATGGATCATATTTCCAACATAGAATATTTCGTGATCCTGACCATATAGAAAGTTACTGTTTTCAGCAAAGTTCTTAAGGTTACCAAGTTCTTTCGGATGATCGGATATTATTTCAGAACTCTCACACTACGCGGCGCTAGTGTACACATGAACTTCCTTAATATGTTATGTCTCCAAAGCTTGTCCATTAGACTGATGCAAAATTTGACTTTTTCGCTCCACAGTGCTTAAATGGTTTCAAATCGGGTCCTGATTAGCCTCCCAAAGTTACAACTTATTTGGTTAGAAACAGACTTCGCACAAGCCATTTGAAGTTTACATGTAAATTACTATGGGATATCTCAACCTTTTTGTTCATTGCCTTCTAGTCTTCTTCCATATTGAGCTGCGAAACAGTTCGATAACCATTATTAAAGAAAATTTTCTCAGCTACAACTTTGCTGAAGATCGTTTCTATGTAAAACGAGACAGGAAAAAGTTATTAATTATTGAAGAGATTGGTAAACTTATGACATGATCAAGCAGCTGCTCTGTAGGCAACACTGTATTTTGCAGTGTGACATAGTAGCCATGATTTTTGTGTCCTATTCAACGCCCCAGAAACACCAATGTTGCCTGCCGAGCAGTTGATTGAGCATGATCATAAGACATCAGCGCATTGAACCATTGATAACTTTCGATCCTTGCATTTAATCAAAAAGTGGTCCTCATCAAAGTTGTAGCTGGAAAAATTTCCTACAAGTATAGTTGAAAGTTTTTGAAGCAAACCGATATGGTGAATTATTAGATAGACATGGACAAAAATCTTGATTTTACCATAGTAATTCCCATACAAACTTCAAATGGTTTGTGCCATCTCAGTTTCTCACCAAATGGAATCAAATTTTGAGAGGTTAGTCAGGATCCGATTTGGAATCGTTTAAGTATTGTGGAACGAAAATTTCAAATTTTGCATCACTCTATTGTCCATATAAGATGTTGCTGTGCAATGTGAGAACAGCAACCGGAAAAGGGATGACGTGTAGAGGCCGGAAATCGATGTCAGATGCCATTTTTAAATCCAATATGGCGGCTATCAGTTTAAGAAAAACTGTCAAATACCCTACAATATGGATATTTTTGGAAGGGGACGACGTGTAGAGGCCGGAAACCGATGCCAGGCGTCATTTTGGCATCCAAGATGGCGGCCATCGGGTCAAGAAAAACTGTCAAATACCCTATAATACGGCTACTTCCATAGAGGGAACGACTTGTAGAGGCCAGAAATCAATGCCAGACGCCATTTTGGAATCCAAGATGGCGACCATCGTGTCAAGAAAAACTGTCAAATACCCTACTATATGGGTATTTTCGGATAGGGAACGACGTGTAGAGGCCGAAAATCGATGCCAGACGACATTTTGGGATCCAAGATGGTGGCCATCGGGTCAAGAAAAACTGTCAAATACTCTACAATATTAGTATTTCCGGAAAGGAAACGACGTGTAGAGGCCGGAAATCGATGCCAGATGCCATTTTTAAATCCAATATGGCGGCTATCAGTTTAAGAAAAACTGTCAAATACCCTACAATGTGGGAATTTCCGAAAATGGACGACGTGTAGAGGCCAGATATAGATTCCAGACGCTATTTTGGAATCCAATATGGCGGCAACATGTTTTCCATGGTCACCATAGCCAGTCGAACTCCAGACGAAACTAGAACCGCACTACCGTTCATACTGGTGACAACGCTCTCATGAGACAACGAAACCTTACCCCCAAGCTCCTCCCCTGATCCTATCCTTCGACAATGTACCTCTCTTACCTCGAGTAAGCCGCGAGTATTCGGCCCAACTCCTACTAGACATAGAATTAAGTGAATGTTGTTACAAACAAAGAACAATGAACTATCGGCTCCGTAAAGCTAACATGATTGAGCCTTCCAAATAAATGAACTAGTTAAAAAACATGTTTTTTCATATATAAGGCTTACCAAGAATATTGCGTATATTTTATTGTGTATAACGTATCACTGAGCAAGATCGCAACGTAACGTGGAAAATTCCTCAAAACAATAAAACGCTTTTAATTGTTTTGTTTTTTTCTATCGTCAACTACAGATTTATTCCTGGACCCCTCTACAGTGAATATGGTTGATATTTTCATCCACCACCTGGTGCGGCAGAAATCGAGTTAAAACTAAATCAACTCTCCGAGGTCGAAAGTTTCTGCACATTGGACAGCAATGTTGAACGGAGTGCAAAAATGCAAGATTTGCTAAGGGAAGTCGAAACCGTTCTCACGGTGTGGAAGAACGAGAGTGACTAGAATGCATAAAACATGACAGCGCTGGTTGGTTCTTTGTTATCGAAAGAGAAAATAAAATATGCAATAAATCTGTAGCTTACGATAGAAAAAACAAAACAAATCAAAGCATTTTATTGTTTTGAGGAATTTT